CAAAAACAAACAAACAAACAAAAACCTTTCCCCTGGCTACTTTCTTTTACTAACAATTTATATGAGTTTTCTATTGCTGTGTAACAAATTACCACAGATTTAGCAGCATAAAACAATGCCCATTTATTAGCTCATAGTTCTATAGGTCAGAAGTTTGGGCACAGCATAGTGGGATTCTTCTGTCAGGATCTCACAAGGCCCAAGTCAAGATATCTGGTGGGCTGCATTCTCTTCTGGAGCTGAGGGTCCTATTCCAAGTTCATATGGTTATGGCAGAATTCAGTTCATTGTGGTTGTAGGACTGAGGTCCCTGTTTCCTTGCTGGCTGTCATCCAGAGGCAGCTCTCAGCTCCTTGCCACATGGTTCTATCCATCTTCAAAGCCAGCAATGGTGAGTTGAAGCTCTCTCATGCTTTAAATTTCTGACTTCTGTTGTCTCTGATCTCCATACCCATATTTAAAGGACTCATGTGATTAGCTCAGGTCCACCTGGATAATTTGTCTTTTGATTCACTCAAAGTCAACTGATTAGTAGCCTTAATCATGTCTTCAAAATCCATTTTGCCTTATAATGTAATATAATTATGGGAATGATATCTCATCATGTTCACAGGCCCTGCCCACACTCAAGGGGAGGAAATTATACAAGAGCATCATGGGTCATTAGAAATCATACTAGAATTCTGCCTACCACACCATTGTAACAGTTATTCTCTACTTTTAATTCCTGTGTAAGTTAATAAGCTGAATCACATTTCCTTATCCTTATCAATATTTTTTTCCCTGAGGGCTGGTGTGACAGGTGTCATCAGCTCACCCAATACCTAATCTCACTCCCTTTCTCTCTCACGTTCCCTACAACAGAGACTGGAAAATGAAAAACAACTTTTTCAGGCTCCCTTGCAGCTAGGGGTGAACATGTAGCATGGTCCTGGCCAATGGGATGTAAGCAGACATCTGTTGACATTGTTCCTTCCTCCCCCTTTCTTTTATCCTGGAAGGTGGACTTGATATTTAGAGTTGCAAAAGCCACCTTGTGACAAGGAAGAAAAGGCCAGAAGATTTTTACAGAGACCTTGGCCCTGGACTGTTGAGAATCTGGTATTCTGTTATACGTAACAGAAAGCAATCCTAACTTACACAAAATTGAACAAGCAACTGCATGAGAAGAATCGAGCCAATGCCCAAAGCCATGATGCCTTAACTTTTCTGGAAGAACTGCACAGAGTGAATGCAGATTCAAACCTTTAGAATCAGGGGGATCTTTCTTTCGCACCTTCTTCATAATGTTCACAGTAATTCTTTATACAGTAATGTTGGCATTAAAACAATGTTAGTGGTCAGAGAAGCCCTGCAAATATGTCATTTTTCATTTCTTCTGGGAAATGTTTTGAATATAATGGCCTTAAAATCCACTTGGAGGCCTACTGATATGCGTGCAGTAAACAGGAAACTGAGGGGCTTTCCTTAGCTATGCTGAGGGGTTAATAGTGAAGGAGAAAGGCTTTCCTTTCTTCTGTCTTTCTTTTTTATGGCTTCCAGTCTTGCTCTCTGATGCTTCCTCCCCTCCCCCCACCCCTCCTGATGGTCCCCTGGGCTTCAGTGGCAGGCCTGGGGACTGGGGCATAAAACTTCTTAGATGGGGCAAAGGGTCTAAACCCTGAAGTTTGGCCCCATGGGCAGAGAGAGACTCAGGAAAGGCAAAAGGGCCAGAGTTTTCTAGGCAGTAAACTTCTCCACCAAGTGTATTCATTATAGTGGATAATATCAAAGAGGCACAGAAAGCTTCCTGAGGTTCCAAAAGAGCTGGAGAGCTGGACTGAGGAGCCACGGAAGGGACCATCCTTAAACATTCTTTTGGCCCATGAACAGAGCTGGAGGGAGATTGAGAAGGGATTTCTGAGAGAGATACAAAGCTATGTGTCTCCTAAGCCTCCAGCAAGGTGGGGATATATCACCAATTAGCATGTAGTATATGGGACACTCAGGAGGAAATTTTCTACTCTGTATAATTGACAGTATAAATTCAAAACCCTGAAGTAATGCCCTTTGTTTTTGTTTTTGTTTTGTTTTGTTTTGTTTTGTGCATAGACAGACATGGATTCATGACATTCCTATTTCTGTAGCAAGGTCCCAAGCCTGCAAACACTCTGCTTCTGGGGCCGGCCGAGTGACTCAGTTGGTTGAGAGCGTGAGCTCCCAGCAACAGGGTCGCTGGGTCAATTCCCACATGGGCCAGTGAGCTGTGCCCTAGCTGAGCTGCTGCTGAGCTGCCAACAGGTGACAGGATGGCTCAGCTGGTGAGAGCACATGCTCTTAATGACAAGGTTGCTGGTTCTACTCCCACACGGGATGATGGCTACGCCCACCCACAACTAAGATTGAACATGGCATCTTGAGCTGAGTGGCTGCAAACTGCCAACAGGAAGCCGGATGGCGACTGGACATGGAGCTGAGCTAGCTGCGCCCTCCACAACTAAGACTGAAGGACAACAACTTGGCTGTTCCCCTTCCCCAATTCCCCAATAAAATCTTAAAACAAACAAACAAAAACAACAAAAACAACAAAAACAACCACTCTGCTTCCTCTCCCACCGACCCCCCTGCCTGCCCACTTAGAAGATAGTGTTACTGAAGGCCTCCATTCCATTCGCCTCTTCCTTGGTTTCTTCTCCATCATTCACCCTCTTTCCTTCCTACAGGACCAGCACGTTCTCTCCTGATTCTTGCCTCAGCATCTAAGTCTGTTCTACTCTCTCAGCCTTAAAACACCATCCTTCTCCCTGTGTCCTCCTCCGGCGGCCAGTCTCCCTCCTTCCTGAGTCTTACTCTAAATATACTTTCAGGTCAGTCTAACCTCCACAGTCTGAGTTTAAACCTTGACAATTGCTGTTACTGAGGACACTGTGGTTTCCTGATTGCCAAATCCCACAGACTGTGTGACTTCGGTTGCCTTCGACAGTGTTGACCACTCTCCTTCCTGAAATCCTCTTCTCCTTTGGCTCCTATGGCAGGGGCTGCCAGTCACCTGCTCCATATCTAGCCTTTCTTCTTCCTTACTAACTAGAACCCCCTTCTCCCCCTCAAAAAAAAAAAGTCATTTATCAGCTTCCCTTGCAGATAAGAGTGGCCAGATAACAGTTCTAACCAATGAGATTTAAATGGAAGCTGTCAGATAGGGTTTCCAGGAAAGCTGCTTAAATGGAAGCATACTCAGTCGCTGTGTGCATACCCATTTATTCCTGACCCTTCCTCCTTTCTCCTGCCTGGAGCATGGACCTGATGGCTGGGGCTAGAGCAGCCATCTTGCAACATGTGGAAAAGGCCAAAATCACAGAGATGTTGATCCTATCGTCCTTCAGCTGCTGAACTCATACCAACCACTGGTTATCTCTATACTACTTGTTACGTTAGAAAAATAAACCCCTCTCTTGCTTAATCCACCATTCTTTGGGTTTTCTATGATAGGCTGCTGAAATCAACTCTTAACTGATACAGCTCCCATGATGATGCCACGCCTGCTTTTGTCATACTCCTTCAACCTCTTCAAGGCCCCTCTGCGTGGACATTCCCAACGTGTTGATGCTCCTCAGTATCAGTCCCGAGTCCTCTTCCTTCACCGTTTCTCAGATGACTCCATGGTGCCAGCTGCTTCCCAAGCCATATGGCTCCAAGGCCCCATGTCAAGCCTAGACCTTTCTCCACAGCACCAGACCTATAGTTCTAAATGTGCAGGGAACATCTCCATCTGCCTGTCGCACTCATATGCAATACACTCACATTGGAACTTGCCAGCTTTCTCACAGTTCTGCTCTTCCGCTTGGTCACTGGAGCTAGTGACCCTCACTGTCCCTCACCCTCATGCACAACTGTTTTGAAGTCCCATCAGGCCTCTTTCCAATAGCTCCAGTTCACTCCCACTTCTTCAATCCTACTGGCTTCATCATCTCTTCCTGGGTCACTACATTAGGCTCCTCACCTGCTTCTCTGCCTCCCATCTACCTTCCAAATTGGTCTTTTAAATATGCAAACCAACTCATGTCAGTCCCCTTTTTAAGACCCTTCGATGGCTTCTTGTCCCCCACAATTAAGCATTCCAATGCCCTTGCATGATCTGAGCCCTATACGTCTTGTCAAAAATCTTTACCTTACAGCCACATACAATCACCTGCATTTTCCCAAACTTGCCATGATTTTTCTCACTTCCTTGCCTGGCTGTTCTTTCTGCCTTGTAAACTGGAAACTGTGCAAACACAAAGTTTTAAGTGAATGTTTAAGAATGTGCCTTAGGCCTTTGTCTTTCTGGAGAGACTTCCACCATTATGCACAGAAATTCAGTGGTAAAGACCTGTCAGAATTCCAGAAGAGTTTGTATTGTTCACCTAACAAAATTGCTTAATGATAATCAAAGAATTCTCTGCAAGCCACTTTGAACCAAACTGATCAAAATAAACATCAGCTGCCTCTGTTCTCTTCTATACATTTTCATTTCAAATTTTACTTTTATCCAACGTAAAACATTCCCCCATTCTACACTCAAAAGTTACTTTAACATGCAACAAGTTAGGGGTTTCTTCTTTTTCTTAGTCTTATCCTATTAAAGGATCCTACAAGGATCCTATAATTTTAGGGTCCAGCTCCTTCATTTTCCACAAGAGGAAACCAAGGCTCTATTGCTTCAGGAACATGGCACCAGGGAGGTAGTGATCAGTGGAACATACCAGGCCCTGACTATGGATTCAGCATGGGCCACCTCCAACTCACAAAGAAGGCTCTCCTCTGCCTCCAATGAGAGGAAAACTAAGTGGCCCCTAAATAACCCGTTATGCTAATCCTCTTACACCACTCCACTTAAGGCAAGATGACAACATAAGGGTGTTAGGGAAAAGGAAATTAGAAGAAATAAGTTCAAGGCTCTGTCTGCCTTGAGAATAGAACAGCCCTCTCTTCTCCTCTCCGACTCTGTGTCCCACCCTTGGGGCAGATGGAGAGTCAGTCACCCTCTGGGTGACAGGCTTGCCATCTCGGATCTGCACGGCCAGCCCCAGGTCGGAAGGCCTACAGTTGCCGAGGTCGTCCAGAAGCACATTCTTAGGCTTCGGGTCCTGGTAGACGATGCCGAGGGATGCAGGTGCAGCACCCCACAGGTCATCTGGGCTCATAAAAGACCGCCCTGCTCATGACCAGGCCCCGCGGGCCCACACTGTAGATGTGGAACGTGAGGTCTCCCCCATTCATGAGGCTCATGACCAGGCAGAGATGGGACTTGCTCTCAAAGGCATAGGCCAGAGAGACGATGGAAGGGTTGCTGATCCTCAGAGTTCCTTTTCTGAAACAGCCATTTTCTTGCCATGTTTCTTCTTCAGGTGCTTCTTGTCCAGTTTCTTACAGGCACATATCTTACCTTTTCACCTGGATAGCACACACCTTAGAGGAGAGAAAGGGAGAGGAAGAGGTCGAGTAGAAAGCATTGGCAAGAGGAGGGAGAGAGGATGATATGGACGGTGGAGGGGCAGAAATCAGCCAAAGTGAAGTAATGGCAGGCTTCTGAGCAAAGAGAAGCTGTAACTAAGACGAGTTCTTCAAGAAAGCGCTGGGACCACAATGAAGCACCACTTCACCCCAGTAGATGGGCCATACTAAAAAGAGGGAAAATAACAAGATTTGGGGAGGAAGTGAAGACAGCAGAGCCCTACATTGTTAATGTAAAATGTGGAAGAGTTTTGTGGTTCTTCAAAAAGCTAAGCATAGGGGCCGGCCGAGTGGCGCGTTGGTTAAGAGCTGGCTTGGGACGCCAGAGGGCCCTGGTTCGGATCCCACATGAGGGCCAGTGACACTGCCCTCTACAGCTAAGATGCTGAACAACAGC